GGAGATATTCGAGAAAAACAAATTTGGCACGCAGCCATATCCCTAAAACAGGGAAAACCGTGAAAGAAAGTGCAAAACGTAGGGAAACGTAGGGAGAAAATTAGTTTTTAATTAATATCTCGGCTAATTAAAGTCGCACGAAGATGCCGATGGTCAATATGGCGAGCCACGGGAATTCTGAATCCAACGGTACCTTCCGCTAAGCTCTACACCCAGCCGTTCCGGAGGAGATGATGTTACAAACAAACAAACACAAACAAACAGACAGACGCGCACAGATTTTAATAGTATAGACTAGCGGGCAAGCCCGCCAGCTGAGCGGGCTGAAGCCCATTACTTCAGGGGATGGATGCCTTCGTGGTATTCGAAAGTTGGACCTAACTACCAGTGTACAGCGATTTTACATTTGCTGCGCCCGCTTTGTTAACGTATGCATGCAGAAGATACTGCATGCGGAAAACCACGAAAACACACATGCAGCCAGCCCGCTCGCCGGGATTAGAAAGTTGGACCGAACTACCAGTGTTCAGCGATTTTACCGCTCAGCTGCTTGTACGAAGTGTAATCGCGAAAATTTTCGGGTGTGATATTCCAACAGTATACTCGTTGTTAAAATTCCTTTATTTAAATTCTTTTTGGTAAACTCCAACTGCTGTCTATATATTTTATACTTAACATCTCTTTTGTAATTATGTTTCATAACAGTAAATATATACTGGCATTTAAATGCCTTTAAAATAGTAGAAAACATTTAAAAGCATTATGTTACAATTTTTTCATGCTCGGAAGTAATACTTTTAACTGCGAGCAAACCTTTGATCTTAGTCGTAACTGTAACTGCTTTCGGCGGCGTTTGTTTACATTTTTCAAGCGTGGGTTTTCGAGCTGATCAGTTTTTCGTCAGTTATCTTTGTTTACCTTCTAAAAATGTTCTTCGAAGGGTCTTCTAAGACTCTTGATAATATTTTTAGTCGTGAATTTGTTCTATTTTGATTATACTGGTAAATTTTTTTTTTTTTTACTTATGCTATCATAATGCATACTATTAGCAAGTAGTATCATAAACCCAAAGCATCAGCGGTTCTAAAATAAAACTCGTGCATGTGTGAAGAATATTCATGGCAGATGGTCATTTGTAGATGCTGTTACCTTACCGCAGAAAAAATTGCTGACACTTAAAATTTAGCGGATATGACAAATGATAAAAGTCCAGCGTGAAAATCAATTGTGAATACAACTGCGAGTGTAAAGGCAGCTGAGTTGAAAACAACTTTTCAATCTACATCAAATTCTAATCAAAATTTGATTGAAAAGTGTTCCTATATTTTAATGAACAGCGAAATGTTTGTTGCATAATGCTACAACAGTTCTTCAGATGTAATATGAAAGGGAATGTTTGGCTATTGAACTCGTTTGCAAATTGTGTAAGAAGGTGTTAATTTTAAAAAATCAAAAATTGTAAAACCAAAACTTGCAGATTATAAAATTGCTGGTAAATAACAGAATGTTAAATAATAATATGTGCAATGCTATGGAAATTCTAAGAACAGATAACAATTATCAAAATATTTTGAATAATTAGGCAACGACCACAGGAAGTGTCATTTTTACTTCCGTGTGTAATGTAGTGGTGTAGCGTATTCAGCTACGGCAAAGCACTCGAGTGCAATCTGCCTAAGGGGAGGGATGCCTTCTTGTCGGCTTTTTAAAGGAAAGTGGCATGGGGAAAATAACAAAAACACCCATGCAGCCACCCCATTCACTGGGATTCGAATGTTGGGTGTTTGTAAAAGACGCAACTTTGTGGAACAAACTCATTTGCTCATTACAGTCCTATCCCTCGAGTATATCAAATATCATGTGAATCATGCCCATGTCTTGCATCTGCTGCACACCTTGTTCCATCATTGTGTGGATATAGCTCATATTGTGTCAATAGTGTTGTATGTGTCCAATATCCCCTGTATATACATTTGAAAATATATATGTACATACATATAAACCAAATTAGTTAGTCGCCTGTTTTTATCGCATTCAAAATAAATAAATAACAGAAAATAATTTTTAAAATCTACCGAGTAAGTATTGCAGATGGGTGCTGCACCCACTCAATTCTTTGCTGGTGTCTAAAATAGTTTCTGTGTGAAATTTGTGGAAATATTTTGTATTTAAATCAAAAACAAAAATAATTTTAAATCTATGATTAAAATTGTTTTTCTCACTTTCATTATTATTAACACGAAACCGAAGGGACTGAAGAATTTTTTCGTGTTAAGGATATTGAAAAAAAAAAAAAAAAAAAAAAAAAAACATATTTTCAACAAAATTAAATTTATTAGAGTACATTTTATTTGCACATGATGATATATAGTATGCATGTATTTAATAAAAAATCAATGAAACAAAATCATCCACAAGAACTGCATTAATTCATTTTCGTTTTCTAATGTCGGAATCTCTGCATCAATGATTTTTTTTTTTAGCTTTGAACAAACTCCAAAAATATCCTTGTCTCCAATTATTTGGGGCTGTACACACATTATTTCATCAACTAACTACGCAATACGTTGTTCTTTGGATAAACAAGTAGGGCATAGCACACAGAAACTTTAACCAAACGTTCATAAAATGTCATAATCGTAATGTCAAGTCGTGTGATACCGCTCTAAAATATTTTACAAAAATCAATGTACCAAACTAACTTTTCAATCAAGACAACTTATTTCTTTGGCAAAGACATTTACAATCTGCTATGTTCCTTGAGTATATAATAAATATCATGCAAAACAAAATTTGATTAACATATATGAATAAAATCAGTTTATCTTATTGCGTCAATAGTTCAAAGAAAAACAGAAAAATAATTTTAAATCTACACCAAAGTAAGTACACAACCTAATGGGCGAAGGCTAGGAAATAAAATAAAAAAAAAAAAAACTAATGAACCCAGTAGTTTATCATTGCAAAAAGCATTATAATAATAATATATATAATTTATTTCCTTTCTCCTGCATATGATATTACTTTAATAAGTTTCAATATGTATAACACAAATTCTATTATAGTAATTAAAAACAAGTAAATGGGTAAAGCAAAATCCGTTTTTTTGACAAATTACAAAAACTACAAGAAAAAAAAAAAAAAAAATCAAGAACAAAACAGAAAAAAAACAAAAAAAAGGGCAAAAACAACAAAAAAGGCAAAAAAGCAAAAAAAAAAACACCTGGGGTCTCCTCTGCAACCTCATCGACCAGGGGTTATTTTTTTCTCCAGGTATCAGCCCTTCCCTGGTCTGCTGTTACAGAATCATAGACAAAATTGCATCACTATATATAAATTCATGTATATATAATATTATATATATATATATATATATATTGATGCAATTGTATATACATATATACACACACGCACAATTAAGATATATATATATTTGTATGTGTTTACAAAAATGCAAGCAATGAATAAGAAAAATTATTTACAAAAATTTACATGTTCTATGTACACCTGAAAAGAAAAACATTTTAATTTGAATGAAATCATTTCTATATACACCCTGAAAAAAAGTATTTACAAGTTCTATGTACATCTGAAAAGAAATGTATAAAAACATTTTAATTTGAATCAAATCATTTCTATATACACCTGAAAAAGAAATATTTTTATGTGATTGAAATCAGCAGTTCCATAAATACCTAAAAAAGAAAAATACATAAAAATGTTTTATTTAAATTAATGAAACCGCCAACGCAAATTGTATTGATGACTGCTGCAAAATCTCAAGGAAATGCTTCTTTTATACCAAACAATATTTCAACATTGAAAAATAATAGGGTCAGCTTCCGATTGCCTAACTAAATCTACAAATTCCACTCCTTGCATAAGCAACTAATTGACACCTCCTAAAAGCCGACTTCAATAATGGCATTTTAATTGCTGACAACATGTTCTAAACTTTTCCAGGGACTTCAAATATAAGGAAAAGAAATTCCAGCAGGCCTCTTCCTTACTCGCCGCTTGCACTAGCTTTCAATCATTATGCGCGTAAAGTTCCTAATAGGCTGAAAAACGACCTCATCAATCTTTTTCAAATTTGGTCGTGGTTTGCTGGCGGTAAGGGCTTAATTTAGTAGTAAAAGCCATGACTGGGCGGCTAACTTGCTGAGCCAGAGTATCTTTAATCTTGCACAAATTCAACTAAGCTTCTTCGAAAGAGCTTCGTTCGACTTCAGGGCGGTCTAAAGGCAGATGCGTCAGACATGACTTGTCTTCGGTGCGGGCTAAGACGGTCTCCATTCGAAGCGTTTGAATAACTTCGCTAACAGGGCCAATTCGTGTAAGGTTCTTAATGCGGGTCATGAAAGGCACATCCCCAACCCCTCAAGTCGCTAATCGACAGCTTCGAAGCTTCCAAAGATCGTAACTTGAGCGCGTCTTGGCAGGACCTTTGTTCATGAATGGTAGAACAGCAGCTCTCAAGTCCAGCCAGTGCTAAGTCTTTTGCAGTGGCTAACAGAATTCGATCTTCCTTGAAAAGCATAAATGTCTTGCGGGGGACCTCGCCTAAGTCATTCAACATGCGTGTTCTTCTCAGGACATGATGCCTCCTTCCGCACCAGATAGAATGAAATGGTTAAGTTAAAAACTCTTGGCGGCTTAAGCAGGTAAGCGAACTTTGTCAGGCCGGTTCGAACAATCTGTCCAGTTTCCATTGGTTGCCTTATTGCATCGAGTAGGGGGCGGGGCTTCTTGAAGGTACTCATCTTGGCAAATTCATGTTTAGTTCATCATGAACAGGCAGCTTCTCAGATGGAAAGCTCAATTCTCTGCTTCGGTCCCACAGAGGTATAATCATGGCTCAATTCAATAACTCGGCTGTCAGGCATGATTTGGTGAAATGTTTAACGCGGTAAGTCGAACTCATAATTCGGACAGTGCGAACTGCTTCAGAAACTGCAGTGAATGGTTTTTTTCGGAACAGCATCTCTTGGGAACCAGGTTCAGCTGCTTCGGAACATGACGGGCTGCAGAGTTTTCCAACTGCTTTCTTGCATCTTTCCGATATAGGTCATTTTCGCGGGACCGTTGTTTATGTACTTTTTCGATAAATACGGATTGTAAGGAACGACCCATCTGTTATCGATGGCATGACCCTTGATCACGATAAAGTTTCCATCGTCCCTTCTTCTGTAGAGTGGGTAGCCATTCACGTTCTCTTTAGTTTCTGCCTGAAACGGTTTCGGAAATCCTTTCGAACATACACCATCACTCATGCAGGGAGAGTTTCTATTCAGTTCACCGCAGGGTCCGTGAATCATCGATGACTTCACAATGTTGTGTAGCTCCGGATGTCGAGTAGCATCTGGAAGTTCAGCACACACCAGCGAGTCGATGCACTCTGCATCTCTTATTTTGTCTTCTTCCGCTAAAAACAACAAAAGGTGCATATGAGGCAATCCTCTCTTCTGAAATTCGATGACGTGTATATCTGCAATGGTCGCACCTAAGATGTGATTCTTTGTCAAATCTTGCATCAAAGCCGTTTTCTTCAGGTCAAATACCCTCGAAACGATGTCCGGGCGATCGTGAGCCTTCTGTCCTGGGAATAAGTTTTCTGTTATTTCCGGCCATTTAGGGTTGCACGTGAAAGTCAAAAACAGATCCGGTTTACCAAAGTCGCGCACAATGGCCATCGAGTCCTGATAGTTTTGCTGCATGCAGCGAGGGCTTCCTATAAACGTTGACGGAAGTATAACCGGTATTCCAGGGCGGACGCCCGTCTCTTGACCAACTCTGTAAATGTGATCGGCAAGACCCATGTAAGTTTCCACTCTCAGATTCGTCTGATGGCTCCGGAGGTACGCAATCCTGTTGCCTTCAACTTTTACGTATGCATCCACGAGATACTGCTGAAACAATTTCCGGCCATACAAAATCGGGTTGTAGCAATCTCGTCGTACGGACACACCCTGTGACTGTAAAACTGTAACTCTGTGTATTGCTGTCCGACTCTGAATCCTTGCTCGCCGTGAGGAAAGAAAAGTACGTACGTCATGGGTTCCAAGTTGGGATTTAAGGTACTGATGTTGATGAGACCGCCACCTCTCGGATGGATCACGATGTCTCGGTTTCGATGGAGGAGCGCCGTCCGTACTCTTGAAGACGACTGCAACTTCATTTTCTTTCGGAGCATTGTAACGTCCCCTGTGCTCGCCTGCAGCAACACTTTCACCCTTGATGTACATGCGGATATCCGCAGCAGTTTCGGCACCTTGCTCTCGTACAGTTTCTTCTTCGAATTCCTTCAGCATCTTGTAGGCTTCCGCATATGGATTAACGTTCCTTAAAACTGTGTCCAACTGTCTCAGGAGTTCGGCGTTCAGGGCAACATTTCCAAATATGTTCATTCTCTGCCTGAGGGCTTGATCCGAATCTAAAATGTACAGCTGAGCATACTGTTCTTGACCGGGATGAGGCGGATGAAGGTGGCTCGTTCGATGATATATGGCACCGTGAATCCTGAAGCAGTAGGGACCCGAACCCGAAGGCATTTCTATATTGGCACCCAATGAAGCAAAACTGAGCAGGCAGTTGTAAGTACGTATGTTGGCAAAAAACTCTTCAGAAAACGGGTGGTTCCCATTCATTAAATTGTGCCATTCTTCTGGATATCTTCTTTCAGCTTCGACAATTTTCCCATTGTTACAGCAGTGCATGTATCTTCCTCTTGCATTCCTTTCTCCCGTAAAGAACAATCCGTTGCAGAGATCGCAGGAAGCTTCCATTGAACCGGCGCTGTGTTGCTCAACATAAACTTCGAGTCCACATCTTCCTGCATTGTGAAGAGTGCTGCGTGAACGTTGTGCTGCATTCATTCATGCGTAGCCTGTCTTCTCGTACGGACATTGTTTCTTCGGATAGGACTTGTCTGTGGCGTGCAGCGTCTCGCGTTCTTCGTGTAGCAGCGTCCTCTTCCGACTCTTCCGCTCGAACTTGACGATGACGATGAGAGTCCAGTCTGTGCCTCCTACTGGTTTCTTCTTCACTTTCTTGAGCACGCAAATTTTCTTGACATTGGGATTGCCTGCTGAGTCTCCTAATGGTTTCTTGTTCCGTTTCTGCAGCACGTAAATTTTCTTGATGTTGAGCTTTCCTGCCGAGTCTCGTAGCGGTTTCTTTCTTCTTCCGTCTTCCGTTTCTTGAGCGCGTAGGTTTGCTTGCCGACGCGCTTGCGTGCTCAGTCTCGCAGCAGTTTCTTCTTCATTTTCTGCAGCTCGCCGTAAACTCTGTGCTTCAGCTCTTCGTCTTCTTGATGCATCTCCTGTAATGCCTCTTTTCCGTTTCGGCATTTCAGTACGTTAAAAAAAGCACTACTAAAATATTAACTCGACTCAAAAAATTGACTACGCAGATGAAAGAAAAAAATTGCTCATTAAACCAATATACTGCTGGAAAAAAAATTAATGCATTCTATATGTATACAACACAAATTTTAAAATAATCCTAGACTAAATGAAAAATTTTCCACTTAAGAGCAAATTAATTTTAAAAAATCAAAAATGTAAAACAAAAACTTCCCTGTTAAAAAATTGCTGGCAAATAAGAAATAATATGGGTAATATTATGAAAAATTCCAAGCACAGATAAAAATTATGAAAATATTTCTAATAATTAGGTCAATCTGAGAACAATGCACATAAACAGAAAATGAAAACCTAAACACAAAATAAATAAAAGGTATAAATACAAATATAAATTAGGAACTTCTGAAATCAATTCTGAAATTCAAATAACAAACCTAACAAAATAACAAATCTAATAAAATATAGAACATTCGATCGCCTTAAAACGATAATTGTTATCGCACACAGGAAAATGTCAAAAATATAAAATGTAAATGCAATTTATCGAGCAACAATAACAGAAATATAAAACACGAATGAATAGATCTTTAAAAAAATACAAAATAATACATTAAATATATAAAAAGAGTCACCAAGTTAATGTTCCGAAGAATTCTCAAGTTCTAAACTAACAGGAGCATATAAAAGTCTAAAATACTACTTTAAATTACTAAAACTACAAATATAAATGCAAAAAACAATCAAATATCCTGTAAAAAGAAATAAAGATTAAGTGCAATGAGTAATAATAAGAATATTTACGAAATTTGAAATGCTGGAAAAAATTGCGACGGTCTCCTTCCAAATCCAAAATTCGTAAATAAATTTTTTGTTGCCAAACCAGGAAACTAAACTTTTGATTCTATTTGATCTGTTGCCAGACCGGGAAACAAAACTTTTTATTTTATCTATGACGTCATTTACTCGACTTATCAAGGGCATAAACCAATCTACATTCAACTAACGACAACTAAATGAAGAGAATGTTTCTATTTTTAGTTTTATTTTAGCTTTTCAGTTTATTCCTTTAAGTTATTTTAATTTTTTATTCTTAGTTTGTTAGTGGCGAACGGCCTTGGCGTTCCCATAGCATTTTTTATCTCCGACGACTGCCGAGACTGTTGCCACTCGGAAGACTGAGTGCCGAAATTATTGTTTTCGCAGTTTTTAATTAATAACTCCGCGGATTATTGTCGTACGAAGATGGGACCGGTATCGATGGATTTGTTGATTTTTTTCGAATCCGGAGATATGCGTTTCGAATTCCAACTCGGCGCCGTTCCCAAGTTATTCGAGAAAAACGAATTTGGCACTCGGCCAAATCCCTAAAACAGGGAAAACGGGTGAAAGAAAGTGCAAAACGTAGGGAAACGTAGGGGAAAAAGCAGTTTTTTAATTAATATCTCGGCTAATTAAAGTCGCACGAAGATGCCGATGGTCAATATGGCGAGCCACGGGAATTCTGAATCCAACGGTACCTTCCGCTAAGCTCTACACCCAGCCGTTCTTGAGAAGATGATGTTACAAACACACAAACAGACAGAGGCACACAGATTTTAATAGTATAGACTAGCGGGCAAGCCCGCCAGCTGAGCGGGCTGAAGCCCGCTTATCATTGTTCGTTTTTAAAAGATATCCTATGTTAAATTTGGCCGGTATTATTTTTTTCGCGGCATGTTCCCGCTGCCGATTCGAAAGTTGGACCGAAATACCATTTTTCAGCGATTTTGCGCGTGCTGTGCCCGCTTTATTCACGTATGCATGCTGAAGATACTGCATACAACGATACACATGCGTAAAATCACGAAAACACCCATGAGCCACCCCGTTCGCCGGGATTCGAAAGTTGGACCGAATTACCAGTGTTATGTGCGTTTTGCGCGGGCTGTGCCCGCTTTATTCACGTATACATCCAGAAGAAGATACCGCATACACGATACACATGCGAAAATCACGAAAACACCCATGCAGCCAGCCCGCTCGCGGGATTCAAAGTTGACGAACTACCAGTGTTCAGCTTTGCGCCCGCTCCCCCTTATTCACGTATACATCCAGAAGATATTATACACTATACACATGCGTAAAATCACGAAACCATGGAGCCCGTTCGCCGGATTCGAAAGTTTGACCGAACTACCAGTGTTCATTGGTTTTTATTCACGTATGCATCCAGAATATACTGTATACACGATACACATGCGGAAAATCACGAAAACACCCATGCTGCCAGCCCGCTCGCCGGTATTCGAAAGTTGGACCGAACTACCAGTGTTCATCGATTTTGGGCGGAAAGCGCGCGCTTTATGCACATATGTATCCAGAAGACACTGCATACATGGGGAAAATCATGAAAACACCCACGCAACAGCCTGCTCGCCGGGACTCGTAAGCTGGAGCGAACTACCAGTGTTCAGCTTTCTTGCGCGGGCTGCGCCCGCTTTATTCATTTATGTATCTAGAAGACACTGCATACACGATACAGATGTGTAAAATCACAAAAACACACGTGTGACTTGCCTGCTCGCTGGGATTCAAAAGTTGGACCGAACTACCAGTGTTCAGCGGTTTTTAGCGGGCTGCGCCCTCTTTATTCATGTATGCATCCAGAAGATACTGAATATACTATATACATGCGGAAAATCACGAAAGCACCCATGCAGCAGCCCGTTCGCCGGGATTCGAAAGTTGGACCGAACTACCAGTGTTCAGTGACTTTGACGCCCGCTTTATTCACTTATGCATACAGAAGACGTTGCATACACATTTACACATGCGTAGCTGCCTGCTCGCTTGGATTCAAAAGTTGGACCGAACTACCAGTGTTCATCGGTTTTGCGCGGGCTGGGCCCGCTTTATGCACATATGTATTAAGAAGACACTGCTTCCACGATACGCATAAGGAAAATCATGAAAACACCCACGCAACCAGCCTGCTCGCCGGGATTCATAAGTTGGAGCGAACTACCAGTGTTCTGCTTTCTTGCGCGAGCTGCGCCTGCTTTATACCTTTATGTATCTAGAAGACACTGCATACACGATAGAGA